TAGGATATTATAATAAGAGTTAAATATTTAATTCAAATATAGCCTGTTTTACTTGTTAAACTTTTAAAGTTACTAGGAAATGGAAAAGGATATTATTTTGATTATTTTGGTCGAAAAGATATCATTCAAAAAATAATTCTTTAGTAAAATCTCACTTTAATAGGATTTAGAATGTTAAATATAAATAAAAAACTTGAAGTTAATAATAATTAAAGGTCAAATAATTAATTTGCTTATTTAAAAATTTCGAAGTTAGATTCCAAAGATGCGTATTGATATTGGTAAAAACTCATACGTAGAACTATTACTATCATAAAAAAATTTACCTTCCCTGACTTATATATTAATTGTTTGAGTCCTAGTTATTAATATGGTGAACCCCTATATAGTGGATCGTACGATATAATGAAGTTGGAAATTTTCCCGTTATAAAATTCTTCTTGATATGATTTTTAATATAGCGAGGTTTTACTCGATATAATAACATTTTATCGATCATTCCTTATTTGTCATAATGGAGTTTGAATTTAGTAATTTGTCGTAAAAAATTTTTACAAATATTAAATTCAGTAATGGTAATGTGTCGCGAAAAATAAATAATTGAATTTGGTAATGTGTCGCGAAAAATAAAGTAATTGAATTTAGTAATGTATCGCAAAAATCAAAGTAATTGATTTAATAATCTGTCGCGAAAGATAAATTAATAAAAAAACAAAGTAATTGATTTAGTAATCTGTCGCGAAAAATAAAGTATATCTTCTCACTGATTTTCAAGACATTTACAACAAAGTTGAAAAGAAAATATTTCTTTGAAGTTAAAATGTAATGCCATGGCTTTACATGGAGAGTTCCTTTTTATATAAAAAAATATTTCATTAGAAAGCCTTAATGGTGCAGTTTTACTTTGCTTTAATTATTTTAATAGTAAAATTGTCTTTATTATGAAGATTAAGTTTTTAATTTTTATATTTTACAATGAATTCGGATTCTACCATTGTTTTTAAGACTGCCCATTATACTCCTTTTTTTCGGCAATTTTAATTGGAATAAATGTCCATTAGTATTTAAATAGTGTTAACTTTTTTTATTAAAAATCTATAAATACGACATAGAAAAATTTTATATACAATTATACACATAATATATAGAAACAAAATTATTATATTAAAAATAAACATAAATAAATAAATATGTTTTAAATCTAAATCTTTATACAATATAAATCGATTCACTAGTTTTATTTGTTGCACTATCTCTAAAATCGTTGCTATCTTCTCAATTAATTATAGGATCATTACTAGTAATATTAACAGAAGGTTCTTTTGTTTCACCTTCATTTACTATCCCTTGATCTTCCTGATTAATTATAGGATCATTACTAGTAATATTAACAGGATGTTCTTTTTATTCCCCCTTCATTCACTACTAAACCATCGTATTCTTTGGTAAGTCTTCTATCTGTCACAATTTTTCCCCCTCGTAAAATGGTGATCATTTATTAACTGATGGATTTTGATTTTCTTCTATAGAAATAATTTCACTATCATCAGTATTATCAAATGATTCAATTATCGTTGCTGAATTGTTTGATGATGTGAGAAATGATTGGATATTTTTATTAGGAACATATGCATTTCTAGAATATCGTGTTATATTTTTGAATGATTTAGAACCGATTGATGGTCTTCTACCTTCAATTACTCTCACTATCTCCGCATCAATAGTTATTGCATATGACAATCCTATTAGAAGTAATATCTGCGTACTATTTATATAAAGGGCCAACTCTTGGTCGTTGCTTCTATAGATTCCAGTTATTGTCCAACCTACGAACATTGCACTTTGACTAATTGCAAGAAATAATCTTAAAAAGTTCCAGCAGATGATTGCAGTAAACATACTTCTTTTTTTTTTTTTTTTTGATTCACCCGCCATAAGTAACGCAGTTTTGTTTGCCTTGGTTAAAACTTGCATAAAACGAAATGTCACATAACAATCAATTAGTAAATCAATTGATATGTATCCTAATACTTGGGTCCTAGCTAGATCTAATCCTTGATTACAAAAATAGGCGTTTTCTTCGTCATCATAAGCTACTTCTGGTCTTATTTGGAAAAATTGAGCAAACTATTTTTTAAAAAACAAATACCCAAATTAGAATTAAAAATAATTAGCAAGCTGTACATATATATAATAACTAAACAATTTATATATATATACATTAAAAGCAACTCTTGTAGTAAATAGCGCGACACCAATCCATAAATCTTTTTTTTTATGTTCAATATTTTTAAGTCGCCATAATAAAAATCCTTGCAATGCAGTTCTGTAAATAAAAATTCCTGTAACAACTAAACTTGTTAATGCAATACATTGGCCTTTTGTCACATCATTTGGTACTACTAATTGCCAAACTTGAGATATAGCTTTAATTAATCCTCCGAAATTATATAAAATTTTAAAAATATTCAGCAAATTTGCTCGAGACTTATACAATGTTATCGAAACGAACAAATTATGAAGGTGCGTCTATTCAAATAAATCATTATTAAAATAAATTATTAATTAATTAATTTAATTTTTGTGAGTTTTTTTTTATTCACGTTACCATGGTGTAAAGACCATTGAACCATCCAGCAAAAGCTATCGTCAAAAATGGTTCGTACATTATTGCTGTGTCAGTTTATCTTTAAAGTTTGTTTTGAAGTTTTAAAAATTTTTCAAGAATTATTTTTCCTTAATATTAATATTAAAATTATATAATTTTTAAACAATACAATTTAAAACCTTAAAATTTGTTTCAAAACTTTAATAAATTCATTAAGACATTAATGTATTATGAATAAGATAACAATAGAGAACAAAAAAATTTTTTGTGAATTTTATTTTTAAAACAGTGACAGTAAAAAGATTATCAACTGATATTCTTATTTATGTATGACAATTTTTTTATTTATGCTTCGTGTAAATATACATTGATTGTTTTTAAAAATAGCGTTTCATATTTAAGGCAAAGAATTATAGTGGTTGGTGGTGCAAAAATGGTAAAAAATCGTCAGTTGACAATAATAAGGCAGATGTATTACAAACTTTATTTTATGTATGTATAAAGCAAATCTCATAGATTATTGTATATATCAAAATATTAAAGGGCTTGTAATGTTTCTTGAAAACGTTTATATGTACAGTGCGGATCATCTATACTCAAAAGTCAAAATTTTTGAAAGTTGTGCAACAATAATTTTCGTGTTACAATATTTTGAATCTCACGACTAAATTTGGTAATGATTTTCTTTTAATGTAATATGTTCGTTAAACTTTTTTGTTGTAAAGAACTTTTATTTATTAATAAAAAAAAGGAAATAAATAAATCAAACAAATCAAATGTATGTTGTAGAAAATATTCCATGAAAAAAAAATTTTGTTACACGAAATTTACTTAGTCTCAATTTCTTAAATGTATAACAAAATTCGGAATTTTCAAAATGCTAAGGCTCTGCCAATTTTCAGTTTAAGAAAAAACCAGCCGATAAGTTTTGAAGCCGAGCCATGAACAATAAAACTTGTCGGTTAAATTTTTTAAAATGATATAAATTTTTTTTGTTTTAGTATTTTGAAGTTACTATAAGCAATTAATGATTATAGATAATCTGCACCGTATACAAATATATCAAATTAAAATTGTTGATAATGTGCAAGAATAACTTGAATAAATATATTAAGTATGAAACTATATCAATAACAATACTTTTAAGATTTATTATAAGTTTAATTAATCTAAAAAAATCAATCATTTATTCAATTAAAAAAAACTTTTTTTTTAGCGCAAACCTTTTTTTGTTGATGATGACTATTTTAATCTAACTTGTCCGGAATTACGTACGGGATCTCTTGTACATGGCCAATCATTTACAATACTATTTAGAAGCAAAAACTACACTCTATGGAATTGGGCTTGTAATTATTTTTGATTAATATTTATCTATAATTTTTCCCCGTTTTTATAAAAAAATTGATACTTATTATTAATAATGCTAATAAAACCAGGAGAATTTTATAGATTTGATAACTATCGAATACTTATACCTGACATAACTTTGACATACAAATGGAAACATTAGTTGTTGAACATAGCAACCCTTACAATTGAAAATTATTTGTTATACGATTGTAAAAAGGGGATGCTATCTTTCGAGACTTTACAGTAATGAAGATTTAAGGAAAATGACTAATGATCGCAATTCTTTTACACAATCAATTTGCAGAAACTTACAACATATTAAATAAAGAAGAGAAGGGACATTTGATCAAAGATTCGATATTGTAAATAATAATTAATACAAGCTAACCTAACTAAATAAATAGAATTGAAAATAACAGTATATGTTATGCAAATTCTTTCTTCAGAATTTTATATATTTGAAGAAATCTTTGAATAACTTTACTATCATCTATTAGTAACTAAGTTTCTGGTCAAATCACCTCTTTTAGTAGCCGAAGTTTGCAAACACTTTGGGAAAAAGTTAATTTTTTATAGACTATTTTTTAAAATTATTTAAATTAAGTTGATTTACATAGTTTTTCATGTACATTCTTATGAAAAGTATTAAGAAGCCCATACTATTGTCAAAACTACTTTTTTTTAAAAAAAATAGTTTGGACCAGAAACCTTATTGATAACCTTGTAGATGACGTTTCAAGATTAATAATCCTATGTGTAAGTTCATTTTTGTACGTATATTATTGATATTTATTAATATTAAAGTTTTGAATAGAAATTGCTAGATGATAATTATGAAGCAATCATTGCACAACAACATCATCAAGAGGCACAAGATGGGTTGTCGAAGTTAAAAGTTCATATCATTGAAAAAATAAACATCATATTGCAAAGCAAAGCTTGGTTTTTTTCTCGAACCTTCTTTTTGTTTTCCAATAGCGCTAATTAGATTTTAAGCCAGTTTTTTTGTTTTACTGGTTTCTTCCACTCTAGTATATATTTATTTATCTGCACATGGTTCTTTTTTTTAACTTCGAAGACAACCATAAGGACAAGGATAGGGTGAGTTTGTTGTTTATTAAACGGTGGTGTTAATGATGTAAATTAATGCTACGATGTTTTAATGATAAATGAAGTTAAGAAAATTACAACGTTATTTATACATGTCAAAGGTTCAATCGTTCTCAGTGCACGAAAAAAGTTTTTGGAATGGAATTTTTATTTATTGTGCAATGAAAAAAAGTCAACAGTACATGAAATTTATAGATGTACTCTTTATTATTTGATAAACAAGTTTAATTAAAGCTACTTAGTAACCTGTCTAACTACCATTTTTCTCAATTGCTTCATTTAATCGTGACGGCATACTACGAATTAAATTAACAAAAAAGTTTTGTCACCCTTCCATTCTTTCTAAATTATTTCACGAACAACTGGGAGTTTTTTTTAATTAACATTTTATTGACTTGCTTTTTAACACGTCCCTCTGGATTAAGATCTGGGCTATTTGATGGCCAGTTCAATTTTTTTGAACGGTGTTGTGAAGAAGTTTTTTAGTATTCCTAGCCGTATGCTCAGGGTCGTTATCTTGTTGGAAGATCCAACGGTTTTCCATGACATTGTTTGCATTTTCAATGGATTTTCAATAAAAATCTTTCGATATAAGCACCATCCATAATATCAGTGTTATAATCTTGTACTAATTTGTGTGTAAAATTTCCAATCAATAATAAATCTGATTTATATGCACCATCATCTTCAATTTTATTTGCAAGCTCCATTTCATGGAGCCAAAACAATCTAATATGTGAATCGAGGGTTTCTGATTGGTTATTTGCTACAGTGAAACTTTCATTTCCAAGCACTTTTTTTTCATTTTCAACAGATATATATAAAATATCCATCACACTTTTTTTAATTTCATTCAACATTTTATCATTATTTTCTTCTTGCTCCCCCTCCCTCATCTTCTCGTCGCCTTCTCTCTTTTCCACATTTAAATTTCTCTTTTTTTCATTTTTAATTAAATCACCTTTCCCCATCCATTTGGGTATTGGAAGTTGAAAAACACTTTCTTTGTCAATTTTTAAAACATCCTGTTTGATTTTTAATCCTTGCTTTGTAGCGTCAACAAGTTGTGCACACATTTGTGCAAAGTATATGGATCTTGGATTCGATAATCCATATTTATTTGAATGCAATCGGTGAAACCAATCGTCTAATACCGATGATTGTTCAAATTCCATCATCATAGCTTTAATATTACACAAAGTCCTGAACGCCAACATCCAACAACATTGGCCTGTATCCTTCTTAAGAAATGAATTCATATATAATGCACTTGATTTCAGTTGCAATTCAAAAAGCACATGTGGATCCCAAAAATTTACTCGGCTAATATATTTTAGTCGGTTGCTTTTGTATTGAACAACAGGTGGATTCATCATAAATTTATGTAGAAATTCATATTCAATGCTATGGTCTTTTTCGACCCTTTTGTCATTAAATAATTTAGATGTTGTTTTATTCTTTATTGATGATGTTGATTTTTTTCTTTCAGGGGTTGTCTCAATTGATGTTGTCGTTGATGATGTTTTTGCCATCATTTCAGCCTCGTTTTTCTTTTTAATTTTGTCATAATATCTAGTGTTATAATCTTGTACTAATTTGTGTGTAAAATTTCCAATCAATAATAAATCTGATTTATATGCACCATCATCTTCAATTTTATTTGCAAGCTCCATTTCATGGAGCCAAAACAATCTAATATGTGAATCGAGGGTTTCTGATTGGTTATTTGCTACAGTGAAACTTTCATTTCCAAGCACTTTTTTTTCATTTTCAACAGATATATATAAAATATCCATCACACTTTTTTTAATTTCATTCAACATTTTATCATTATTTTCTTCTTGCTCCCCCTCCCTCATCTTCTCGTCGCCTTCTCTCTTTTCCACATTTAAATTTCTCTTTTTTTCATTTTTAATTAAATCACCTTTCCCCATCCATTTGGGTATTGGAAGTTGAAAAACACTTTCTTTGTCAATTTTTAAAACATCCTGTTTGATTTTTAATCCTTGCTTTGTAGCGTCAACAAGTTGTGCACACATTTGTGCAAAGTATATGGATCTTGGATTCGATAATCCATATTTATTTGAATGCAATCGGTGAAACCAATCGTACAACCCAAGCGGAGGATCTGATAAATAAATATAAAGGATGACCTCTTGTAATTTCCTGGCTCTAGTAGACGGTTGTTTATAACGAGATAACACATCTTGTAATCTAATATTATTTTTCTCAAATGCTTCCTTAACGTTTGGATCCAATGGTAACAAAAGTGAGTTTTGAAATGGAGTTACAATACGTGGATCCCAACAGCAAAAAATCTATATATTTATAAATTTGTTAATATTTTATACACAGTGAATCTCGATATAGCGGATATCTCGGTTTAACGGATTTTTGGAAAATGCTAATTACCCAAACTATCCGCTAAATCGAGATTTACTGTGTATTAAAAAAAAATTATATAATATATGTATGCACATGTTATGTTATATACATAAACATACCTTATCTCCGTCATAATCACCACCGCTCAAATGATTTGCTAAGGAACCTTCTCCTGGTTTAACATTTATTGGGAATATTACCAAATTGTAATAATTTTTCAGGTATTGATTCTTGACAGCCTTAACCTTTATAATGTCTGATGGAAGCAAACATGGATTCCTTGCCAAAATCACATATCCTTCGATCACACCAAAAGGTAGGCCGGTTCTAGGATCTATACCTGCATACTTATCCAACTGAATAAATATTTCACCCGGCTGTAATGTACCACTAGGATCAGCTATGCAAATCAACGTTCTTGATAATGGAACTTCAATCTTATACTTATTTATTAACGGACTTAAAGTATAAATTAAAACATCTGTCAATTTTTTTGCAAGGAATGCACAACTGGATGGGGTAAAACCAGCACTGAGAAGTTGAATACATTGTTCATAATTCGACTCAGGCACCCCTGAAAGTTCTTTTAGCTCTGTCTCAAAATTTGTAAAATCCTCTTGGTTAGTTATTTCTGGTGATATATCATCATCATTATACATGTATTTTTCATTTATCCTTCTCTTAGTTATATTACCAACATCATGCAGCCAAGATATCAGTTCATGTCGATTTTCATTACCAATCACTTTCTCTTTTATTCTTGATATGTTTTCTTTAACTATCTGTATGAAAACGTTTGCACTTAAACCTCCATTTTCTAATACCCTAATAAATTGTATGTTTAGTAAACCTGGTGTTTTTGGAGATTTTACGACATTAATAACTTCCAAAGTCCTTAAATGTTCATCATTTCCAACCCTGTGAGGCCTCAATTGATATTTTATCTGACTTTCCCGAAGCTCGATCCATACACCATTATCATTATCATGACCTTCTTGTGGTTTTAAATACCAAACACCTTTAGAGCCTCCTATTCTACCTTGAATTGCAGGCGGTGTTTCCAAGTATCCCAACATCAAGGCAACTTTTTTCATTGCTGCTAATGAAATTGCAGAACAGCCATCTGTCATGCAATGACCGTTCTTTATAATGTCATCAACATTATATCGAATCTCATGCGGTTGAAAAACAATTGTTGGTTTAGTGTTGGAAAGGCCTAATGATACTCTGGAGTAGAACTTTGAAATTGTTAGATCATGATTTAACTCCATTGGGATATTGAAGTCGATAACTTCCCATAGTGATTTTGGTTCTAAGTCTATACCATGTGTTGCAAAATAATAGAATATCTTATCTTTTGCATAAAAAAATTCGTACCTCCTCTCAAACAAATTTAATGGACATAATAATTGAGATTGAAGCTCTCCATCGAAATTGTCTGTTTCAACTTTTATGTGTAAAAATCTATTTGAGGAATATAGTCTATAGTATCTTTTGGAAACTCCAATTTTTGGTGGATTCAAATGTATCACCAATTTTCCTTTGCATGGAACCACCTTTGCACTATATAGTATATGCGACGGCGACGACGATGATGATTTAGTAGTAGAAATATCAATTTGTTCGTCCTCCCATAACTTCCAAACATTTTGATTTCGTGGAAGCAATCTACTTATTTCTAAAAAGGGATTTATATTTTGACTTTTACAATACTGTTGACAAATTACTCTAAAGTACTCATTTAATTTAAACCCGTTACTACCGCCACAGTTTGTTTTAATATATTCCCATATGGAAAAAGTGGGTTTAATTGGTCCAAATGGTTTCAGTATTCTTGAAATTTCATAGACCATTAAAAAAGATAATTTATTATTATTACCACTGTATAAATGATGTTGATATTCTTTGGTTGCCTCTTCTGTAGATGTAAATTCGGGTGTTACCCATGCTGACGATAGAGGCTTTTTTTCAACAAATTTTGGTTTAAATTGTTGTTTTCCATTATTTATCGACATCTTAGCAATGTAATCTGTTTCTATTTTATCATCAAAATCTTCTAATTTATCACCCAATTCGTCAAATCCATTATTATTACTATTATTATTAATTTGAAAACAAGCCTGTTCCAATGCTCTACTGAAAGCATCTTGTAATTTTAATATACTGTTTTGTTTTTTTATTTCCCTGTAACTTGATTTACATTCCGATACAAATCTAATTACCAATTGTTCCAGGACTTTATCCTCATCTAATTTAACTATTTTTTTCATCAATTTGTCATGTTGCTCTGTCACAAAAAAATTTTTTTTGGTACTGGTGACATTATATAAACTACATGCAAATAATTCTAACCCATTTTGTAATTTTTTAATCAATATAACATCATTATTGTTCATTTTTCCTATAAAAAAAAATTTTTATTAGTATATACTATTGAAAAAAATTCAAGATAAATCTTGGATTTTAATTGGTTAGTAATAAATATAAATAGGTGATACAAGGTTTATTTCTTAAAGCGAAGAAAATATGGCGACAATTTCGATTTTGGCACCTGAGCTTTTAAGCGAAATAACAAAATATGTTGAAGAAGATTATAATACACTACATTCATGTGTTCTGGTTAATAAACATTGGCACAACATTAGCATTCCAATTTTATGGAGAGATCCCTTCTATTCTGAAAACAGCACCAAAGTAATAATCAAGTGTTTATCAGTAGAAGACAAAGATTTCCTAACAAAAAACAACATTGAATTAAAGTTTGAACTGTTGGAGAACAAACCACTACACAACTATGTAAAGCTTACTACTGAATTAAATTTTACGGGTATAATTGATTTAATTCCAAAAATAATGATGTTTGATGATGTCAAGGTTAAAATTTTAATTAAAAGATTGGTAAACTTTATTTTAGACTATTCTGTGATCAAAAAAATCAATCATTACAGTAATCCTGATTATATTTGTGATTTAATAGTTAAACATAACAGATTTGACACTTGCTTTAAAAATCTTTATAAATTCAGTTTTAGCAATTGCACTCACACTAGTTACATTCATGTTGTTAGTAGATTAGCAAAAATTTGCGAAAATATCAAATCTTTAGAGATAACATATATTAGATGTTTAAATGATAATAAAGAAGCTGATAATTGTGTAACTCAATTAATTAGAGCACAAAATCAAATAAAAAGTTTGGTTGTTAATTCACACCATGATTATTATTTAATATTTACAACTGAATTAAAAGAGGCATTGTCAAATCATTCAATAAGAATTACTTCATATACCAGCAATGGGGAGAACAATCTAAATTTTTTAATACCAACATTTCAAAATATAAGGTTTTTATCAATATCTGATTATGTAATGAATCCAAAAAATAATAAAATAGATTATTTGGAATCTAGTTTATTTTCACACATTGAAACTTTATGTATAAGGTTAATTAGCCAGTCATTTCTCTTTAAACTATCAGCTTTTATTATCAGTAATGGAAATGGTCTTAAACATTTAGAAGTTGGTGGTTCACCAATGGATGAGAATCAGTTGATTGAACTCCTAAAGTCAATTGAACAAAAATGTCCAAATTTAGAAGATTTAAAAATTTTTTTTAAGAGAGATACCAATGAAAATTTTATTGAATTATTCAAGAATTGTGTTAAATTGAAACAAATTACATTTAGATATTTAGGATATTTAGATTCTGGTGCTGGTGATAATATAATTAAAATATTAAATGAGTCATTACCAAAAAATTTAACAAGTATAATCATTGGTTTTAGTATAGATATTTTTGATCGTGATTCATTTGATAATTTAATGAAGAATTGGAAAGGTCCTAGACCTTTTACATTAGGATTAAATGGGGACCCATACATAACTGAATTAATTGAAGAATATCATAAAAAGGGAATTTTAAATTTAAATGATATTGATGTTTTTAATAATATTACTTGAATAATTAATTTTTCATGTATATAGGATTTTTTATTTTTAATAAAACATTTTTGGCAATAATTTCAATAATTTTCCATTAAAATAATAAGCATTGATCGTTTATATTTCTTAACAAAAAATCATCCAATTATGTAAAGAAACAACTGTAATAAAGACTCTTTTACCTTTTTTGTTTCATTTAAAATATCATCATTATTTGTATGGCTTCCTAATTTGTAAAATTTAACGATTTTATTTATATTTCTGTTATCCACACATTACCTTTTCGTTTTGAAAAAAGTTGCCAACCAACCAGGACAAAAGTTTAAGATTGAGCCTTAAGTGTGAACCTCAAGTAAAAAAAATTTCTTTTTTTGGCACGTGTAACTTTGGGGTTTATACTCAAGTAACTTGGGTTTTACACTTTAGTAGCTTGAGACTTATGCTCAACTACCTTATAAAAGAATTCACATTTTAAATACAGCATGAGAGTATTTAGTATACATTTAGAAAATGTACTGTGTTTGGAAGGTAATCCTATAGACTTGTTTTTATTTTATAGCTTTGATTTTGTAGGTACCGAAAACTTTTCACTGCCTATGGCTCAGTACAAAAAAACCATAATCCGCTTCCTGTTTCCGAATCGTTCGAAAAATCTTTAACAATATTGGGTACAAGTATCTTTATCTTTGCCTTATTGTGAATCATCAATGAGTGCAGAAGCATCACGAACTCTCTTGGAGCAGTTCTACAAAGATCTCAATTTTATAAAAAATCGGTTGGATTGGATCCAACAGAAAAGATAGTAACTGTGGTTGATATCCAAATAACTAATCTTGTTAAATTCATCTTTGTCTTGTCAGATCACTGGTTTTACATGATTAAATTTCATAGTCGGTGGCAAAATTCCTATAATCAGGCTAAACTTTCTCATTTTTTACATATAGAAAAACGCCTAATTGACGTGGTAAAAACCTTCCGAGATCCTTGTCCATGGAGAATAATCCCATATTAATATTGATATATGGCTAATTTTGCTCCAAATTTTCCAATTTATTATTTATAGCGCTTTACATATTAACAGAATGACCTTTATGGTCAGATATCTTATCTTTTCAATTGAAATTTAATCCGCAGATATTATATAAATACGATGACTTGTATTAACAATGGAATTCCCTTTACAGGATCATGGAGGTTATAACTCTCACCTGTTGTCTCTGTGGAAAGTTTGGAAATTTCCGTGTTCCTATTATTATAAATATCGACGACCTGTTAATTCACTTAAAGAGAAAATTAAGAATGAATTCGCTTGTGATGTTACCACCTTTGGAAGGTAGATAAACTCGAAGATGAGTTTTTTGAGGGAACTCGCATGTAACAATTCAACCAGGCGGTATTAAGAATTGGAACAACAAAATCAAGATAAGTCTAGTTAATCTTGGCAGTGCGCTTTTATGGGATATACTCAAACATGAAGTTTCGATTCACTCTCTCAATAATGAAAAATAATAAATAAGTTGGAGCCATTGTGATTTTGTTTAATATATATATAAATGATGTATGTGACGTAGATTTTATCGAAAAGAATCATATACTGGTATATAAAAGAACGATACGCGTACTGAGAGTTAAAATAATTTATTGCGAATGCAAAGTTCATATATATTGCATTTTTTTCAAGATGTAACTAAGAATATCACTCTAACTTTGGTTGCATTTTATTCAAGAATCTAAGTTATAGATGTTGTAATAGAAAAAAAATAAATACCAACTTGTAGTTTAGATTGATGATATGACATTACAAATTAAAGAATTAGTTGAACTCTCCAGATGGATTATTGATAGAGAAGGAATTGGTGGTCAAACAGCCACGACAATCCCATAAATATTTTAATATTATACGTGAAGATGGAGAAGACATGGGCACAGTGTATCAATATTGCCGATTTCATCATGATGTATAACATAATAAAATTAAAGTTTTTAGCTTTTTTACATATGTCCACCAATGGGATGTTGCTTTAAGCAACGATTTTAATTCGTAAAAATAAAGCAAAGGCGTTTTTAGCTCAATATTTTGTGTGTGAAACATTTTATAAATCCCTCGGGATTACTCAATCCGATGTATGCTAGGAATCAGAGATTCATTGACTCTACTGAATCCCATTTAACAAAGTGCCAAATTCACCAAACTTGGAAGAATTAACTGCATAGTAATAGCCTCTATTTATCAGTATCGTGATGAATCAATCAAACCTTGCATTGAGTATACTAAAAAATTCAACTGAAGTCACTTTAATGGTATTACCACCCCCAGAACAGAAACCATGCGGTGGATGCAAAGGTAAAATTCCTTCAACGCCCTTTACATCAATTACTATATTAATCTACAGTTCATCGAATTTGTAATAAGGATTGTTGCAAATAAAGAACCATGTTGTCTCGATTGTGGTGCATATTTCAATGTTGGAGAAGAGCAATTTTGTATCAAAGTAAATGAGATGAATATAAAGGAAACATAAGTTATTGCAAAAAACCTCGTGAAGATAAAGAATCTAACATTCTGAAAAATCTCGTTAAAGAATTGTCTGATAACGTCGTTGTTGAAAAATCTTTTTCAATCATTCCTTGGATTGATGAAAGAATATGAAGCATCAAGGGAGACTAAATATGAAGTTGAAAAGTGGGTTGAAGAAGATTCTGATTAATGTTGGTTTCCAAAACTAGAGAGTTTCGCAACTGTGCGAAAGTCAAAAGGTTTCGCCATAAGTCGAAACTAGTTTTGACCTTTGACTTTTGACTTTTGATTTAGTTTTGACTTTCACTTCTTCAAAATAGTTTCGGCAACCAACACTACACTAATTCTGATGCTGTAAAAATATTGGAAAAGGATCTCAAGAAGGAAAGAAAAATACTTACAGCAAAAGAAAAAATCAGTCCAAAGCCAAAACCATAAAACAAATTCCAATGACATCACAATTAAACAGCAAGCCTATCAGGATTTGAAAACTGCTTATAGTGGTGTAAATGAAAGTTATAAACACTCTTTAGACAACTACATAACAGAAGTATTATTGGAATAATATTTATAAGAAGAAAAATAACATGCCGAAGAAAATGAAATCTAAAAAGGATAGCAGATCAAACTCATCACTTCATCATGGTCATACTTTACTGTTGAATATTCTATTAAAACTTGGATATTTATAAAATCACCGACTGTCAAGGAAGGAGTAGTTTTTAGTGGAACTGATTATAAGCAAGATGAGCGAAACATGGTGTTTTGGCTTTGGCTGAAATTGAATTACATGTTAACCAATATAACTTGCTCTTTGAGGTTAAAGATGACAATGATGCTGAACATAGATATTGATAAAGATAATCATCCTCCTCCTTCACCTCCTACCTTAACCTATCCTTTCGCCTCTCCTTAATGAAATAAAATTCAGCTACA